TAAAATTGCGATATACATTTCGACCAAAAATTGGAAATAACGACGAATATGAGCAAGTATTTGCAACGATTATAAAATCAATTGCGGAAAAAAATTGATACAAACGACAGACTAATAAACATAATTGCGACGAACAAAATTATTATTTGCGACACCTCGCGACAAACTAATGCGACTGATTTCGGTTACAAATTACGACAAAATTAAATATATCGCGACAAAAATATGGTCGTCGGTGATAATAATTAATTGCGACAAACAGTCGCAACTGAGCAATTGCGATTCAACCTGATGCAACGATCACGTTTTGTCGCAAAGTATGTCGCAATTTCTCTTTCGCGTCGAAACTGTGACTAATTGCGTCGGAACCCGTCCATCACTATAGCCATGTTTTTTAGTAGTGTATTGATTATTTTGGATTTAGGAAAACATCTAGAATTGTTTTCATGTGTATGTAAAATTGTTAAAAAAAAATAATATTATTTCAAGTTATTTGACATTAGTATTTTCATTATTTAATTTAAATTTTAGTTATAAAAATGTACTGCCTCTGTCCATTTTGTCTGTTCTACTTACTATTCATTGGTCAAACCAACTCTTTCTTCTTTGTTTATTTTCTTTAGTATATTTTACTTATTTTTAAATTCTTTTTTTTTCATGTTTAATAATACTTTTAGCGTAGTTTCTAAATATATAAATTTTGTATACTAATACTAAACTTAATATTATGAAAAATTGAATTAAAAATAATTTTAGTCAAGCCTCGTTAATCAAACCAGACACATAAAATGGAACGGAAGGGGTATATTAATTTCATGTAGGGCCCATTTTTGTTGCTACGCCACGGGCCTATAAAATGATAGGACCTGGTCTGTCGATATATACTTACACATGCGTGTTATTAATACATCAAGTGCCTGAAACTAAGTCATAGGGTGCGTGAGTTTGTTTATTAAAAACAAAAATTAAAAAAAAGAATAAAAATTCAAAACAATTAATGTGTGTTGATATTCAGTATTACGTGCGAGTAATTAAAGTACAACGTGTGTGAACTCAATTCTTGATGTGCGTTCGTTTGAGTACCAATTAAGATGCGTCAATTTACTCTCAACGAGCGTCTATATACTATTTACATTGCGCAATGACTGACAATTTGCTTGCAAGTCAGGGAAAATACTTTGAAACCAAAGACAATGGCGACAGCAACGCGAAACGAACGAGAGAGAACGGAAAACTGAGTACGAGAAACGTTTTTTTTTTACTAATTTACCCCTCAGTACGCGTAATTTAATTAAAATCACCGAACTTCACTATTTAAGATCATCGGGTAAGATATTTAGATGACTTATAAACCAAAGGAGCGCATAAAACAGCACAACCGCACCTGAACCGTATTCTATATACATACATATATATATATATATATATATATATATATATATATATATATATATATTAGGTTCTGGTTGGTGCGGGTGGCGGCCCCAGGTGCGGTTGTGTGAGAAGAGGAGAGCCATTTATTTTGTTTAAATCAATGTCAAGGATTACCAAAATTTAAAATAAAAAAATAAAAAACGCGGTAGCATTTTGGTAATTTTTGCAACTAGGTCAAATTTAAGGTGCATGAGTTTTGTGCTTAAGGTGCGTGAGTTTTGTACTTAAGCTGCATGTGTTTTGTGTTTAATGTGAGTAGTTGTTGAAACTTAAGGTGCATGAGTTTTGTGCTTAAGGTGCGTAGGTTTTGTGCTTATGGTGCGTGGGTTTTGTTCTTAAGGTCGTCATGTTTCTTCATCGCGTACCATTCTCTATGAGTCACGGATAGTTCAGACCCTCAAAAAGAATAAAACTTTTGAACTGAGGGGTGGTTCAGACCCTCAAGAAGAACAAAACTTTGGAACTGAGGGGTGGTTCAGACCCTTAAAACCAAAACTTAATGTGCGTCATTTTAACACTTAAAGGTGCGTTGTTATAACACTTAAGGTGTGTTGTTCTAATACTTAGGTGCGTTGTTCTAATACTTAAGGTGCGTCACATGCAGATTAAACAACAAAACTAGCACAGCGGAAGATAAAACGAAACTAGATAAAAGAAATCCAACGGGGTGTCACGCCACGTCTACCAAACACGGTAAACGCTACGGCAAACAATCTGCAAGTGTATATATCTATCCCAAAACATCAGTCTAACTACATGGGCGCACAGGCCACAAAAGCAAGGATAAAGGTGCTAGGCTACCAGGCACTAGACATCGCGCTCGTCTAAACATCACCTGAAAGATACAAAGATAAACATTGGGACGACGCCTGGTCAGCGATAATGCTGGTAACCCACCAATACCGTTAAGTATCATACATAGATAGATATAAGGTGTAAAAATCATTTTCGAAACGGAATACATAAGTATATAAGTCAAAAGCCAAGATCAACAGTCAACACAAGACTCATCACACTCAAAGATAACACGGGAAACACATCCCAAACCACAAAGGTTAACCACGACACAAAGGAATAAGACTCACCCATGGCAACACATGCCCTTGTGACTACACACGTCACAAGAAAGAGAATTCACAACACCGGCTACACAAGCCCTCGTGACATCACCCATCACGAGTTGATATGTCTTCCTTATGCCCTGTTCTAACCTTATGGCTACCCCCGACCTTGTACCTTCATGCCAACCGTTACCTCCAGGACCCCTGTACTTCTTAGTCCAACCTTATTCCCCTTGGGACCGTCGTCCCCCACCAACAAGACCACCAATTCATAGTACACAAGGTACCGTACACGGCGAAATACATGCCCGGATAACACATGTTATCCCCCAATCACGTGAACCTTACTCGAAGGAACACATCTCCATAATCACGTCACGGCCACCACGAGGACCGCTGCAATACCTTGGTGGCTAGCGTCCCATACCACTAATCGTGCAATCCAGGTAAAGCCACACACGCACCACCACTCACACGAGTCAATCAACGGATTACAACGAAGGTATGAAACCATACTCAACCAAGGAATGGGTCACAACCCAACGAAAACAATGATGAATAACGCAAGTTATCATCCACCAAACGGAAGGTACAAACCACACACACGCTAGCATTAAGACAATAAACTAGCATGCTTAACAACGGAGAAACTCAAGATAGTTCCGAGGAACACACAAGACACCTCTTGGTCCAACGAAACACAATGTTGAACACTTAGCACGATTCAAGACACCAAAGTCCTACATGGATACCTACCATATAGTTCTAGACATACGAAACATCAAGAAGACGCTCAAATAGTTCCACACAAGAACAACGGGAAGTCAAAAGACCAAATACCGAGTCAAAAGAATCACAGGGAACAAATCCCGAACAAACACCATTGTGTTCCCCGCGGGTGGACCCACGGGTAGGCCCCTACCCGTGGTTCCGCCCGCGGGTACACTACCCACAAGCTAATGTACCTGCGGGTGGGCGGCGGGTAGGGCTCTCCCCGCCGTTCCGCCCGCGGGTACATACTCTTGGGCAAAATAATCCCTTCGGGGATTTTCTTCTCCAAACACAAATTCAAGTCCAAAACATGCCAAATCTCACCCAATACAACAAAATGACTTGAACCATGGAAAATGCCAAGCAATGGAACAAAGGAAACCTAAACACAAGCTCTAGATATGCAATATCACAAGACAAATGCATAAACCCTCACATTTCATAGCAAAACACATGTAGAATCCAAGAAATCACATATAGGTAAGCAAAATAGGTTTTGTAGAGCATGGGTTACCTCTTGAAGACCAAAAGACTTCACTTTACACCACAACAAGCTCCCCACAAGGCTTACTTTCCAAACCCACTTCAAGATTAAACCAAAAGATCATAAAGATCCTACCTTTAAGAAAAAGACAACTAAGATGGAACCAAAGAGACAAGATAAGCTTAGATCTTACCCTCCTAGATGCCCAAATAGGTGAAAGGTTGAATCTTGGAAGCAAAACTTGAAATCTTGACAAGGGTCTTAACTTGGCTTGGAGAATAAGCTACACTTCTTTTCTAGAGAGAAGGTAGAACTAATTTCTAAGAATTGTAGGGAATGAAATGAAGAAGTCTTCTAGGTTAGGTTACAATACTAACTCTTGGTGAAAAGACAAGAATACCCTTACTAACCTTTAGAAAGTGTAAGGAACAAGGGAACTCCCCTCAAAGCACAAGGTACAACACAACTTAAAGGTTGACTAGTCAAATACTAGTCCTTGAGTATTAAAAATCAGGATTTTAGGAATTAACTCTTCAAATAAAATAGGATTAATTACTCAATTAATCCATGGATTGAAATGCGGATTTTTTTTTTTTGAGGTGTCACATCCTCTCCCCCTTCAAAGAAGCTTCGTCCCCGAAGCTTGGGTACGACGAATTAAAAGCAAACGGTGAAAGGAAACGACATTGTGACAAGAAGTTCAAGAATAACTCTTTTGGTCAAAAATCCCAAAAGAACTCACAAGGATTCCAAAGCAAAGAAGTATTCCAAAGCAAAGAAAGAAGGCATTTCAAATTCAAGGGTTGGCAAGAGGTCAACAAACGGATAGATTGAGCATCAAGAACTCTAGCCTCACACAACCACCAACTTCTAGACAACAACCAAGAACTAAATTACTAACTCCAAACACCAACTAACAAGCTAGCTAAACAACAAGACAGCAAGCAACAACAAGCAAGCACACAAGGCAAACAACAAACGAGGAAAACGAGGTACCTTCCACAAACAACTCAGGGTACCGCTCCCGCATCGATACCTCCAACTCCCAAGTAGCTTCCTCAACACCATGATGTGACCACCAAACCTTCACCATCTTAACAGATTTCCTACGTGTGTCCCGAGTCTTAAAATCCAAAATTCTGAGCGGCCTTTCTTCGTAAGACAAATCTTCATCTAACGGTATTACTTCTGGTGGTAAAACATGAGCCGGGTCGTGAACATATCTCTTGAGCTGAGATACGTGGAACACATTATGCATCCTTTCCAACTCCATAGGCAACGCCAAATGGTAAGCCAAACTCCCAATCCTCTCCAGGATTTCATACGGGCCTATGAACCTAGGGCTCAACTTCCCTTTCTTTCCAAACCGCATTACTCCCCGGGTGGGAGATACTTTCAACCAAACCTTATCCCCAACCGAGAACTCCACTTGTCTTCTAGCCAGATCTGCATAAGACTTTTGACGATTCTGAGCCGACTTCATCCTTTCCTGAATCTGTTTAACTTTCTCGGATGTGTTCAATAAATATTGCAGTCCCAAAACTATCGGATTGACAAGATCCTCCCAACAAAGCAGACTGCGACACTTCTGTCCATAGAGAGCTTCATAAGGTTCCATGCGAATGCTCGAATGGTAACTGTTGTTGTAAGAAAACTCGATCAAATCCAAATGGTCCTCCCAAGATCCTTGAAAATCCAACATACAAGCTCTCAACATATCTTCGATAATCTGTATAGTCCTTTCTTTTTGTCCATCAGTGGCTGGGTGGAAAGCAGTACTGAGACTTAGCTTAGTTCCAAGAGCTGCTTGCAAGGATTTCCAAAATTGAGACAAGAACCTTGGATCCCTATCGGAGACGATATCCCTCGAAACTCCATGATACTTTACCACTTAGTTGACATAAGCTTGAGCCAACTGTGTCATTGTCCAGGTCTCCTTCATTGCGATAAGGCGGGCAGTCTTAGTCAAACGATCAACTATCACCCAGATTTTGTCCTTACCTGAACGGGTTGTCGGCAGACCTCCCACGAAATCCATAGATATAGAATCCCACTTTCCTTGTGGAACTTCTAATGGTTGTACCAACCCCTTTACCTTACAACGTTCCGCTTTTACCTTCTGACAGTTAAGGCATTTCCCAACAAACTCTGCAACTTCCTTCATCATATTAGGCCACCAGAAGAAGCCCTTCACGTCTTTGTATAACTTGTCTCCTCTGGGGTGGACCGAATAGGGTGTGTTATGACCCCCTTCCAAAATCTGTCGCTTCCACTGATCACATGAAGCGAGTATGCATAAACGGCCTTTGTACCTCAACACCCCATCCGTAGATAACTCAAACGGCCCCCTTTCCCTTTAGCTAGGTCATCCCTTACCTTTGTCAAATATGCATCCTTTTGCTTCTCTTCCTTAATTTCTCCCAGAAATGTGGGTACAATCCTTAAGTTATAGCAACGAACTTCTGCCTCCACATCTCCCTGTTCCACCACTTCCAAGTTCATCCGTTGGAGCTCCTTACAAAGCTCATCCGCCACTACCCAAATAGAACTAGCGGTATGCTTCGATTTTTGACTTAAGGCGTCCGCCACTACGTTAGCTTTTCCTTCGTGATACTGAATATCTAACTCGTAGTCCTTGATGAGCTCTAACCACCTTCGTTGTCGCATATTGAGATCCTTTTGGGAGAAGATATATTTGAGACTCTTGTGATCCGTGAAGATCTTGCAACGCACTCCATATAGATAGTGCCTCCAAATTTTCAAGGCAAACACTACGGCGGCCAATTCCAGATCGTGTGTAAGGTAATTCTCTTCGTGAACTTTCAGCTGACGCGAGGCGTAAGCAATCACTCTCCTATTTTGCCTCAACACACAACCTAGTCCTTTCTTGGACGCATCACTGTATACCTCAAACCCTTCCGTTCCTGATGGCAATATTAAGACTGGTGCAGTCGTGAGCCTCTCCTTCAAATCTCGAAATGCTAACTCACAAGCTTGATCCCAAAAGAAAGGCACTTCTTTCCTTAATAACTTAGTCAAAGGTTGAGCCACCTTGGCGAAATCCAAAACAAACCTTCGATAATAACCCGCTAAACCAAGAAAACTTCTTACTTCCGCCACCGATGAAGGTACAGTCCAATCTTTCACTGCCCGTATCTTGTCTGGATCCACAGAAATCCCCCTACTATCGATCACGTGGCCTAGAAACGTCACACTGTCTTTCCAAAACTCACACTTAGAGAGCTTGGCGTATAACTGCTTCTCCCTCAAGACCTGAAGTACCGTCCGAAAATGTCCAACATGCTCCCTCTTATCTTTCGAATAGACCAAAATATCGTGGATGAACACGATCACAAATTCATCAAGGTGGGGTTTGAACACTCTGTTCATCAAGTCCATAAAACTGCAGGGGCATTAGTCAACCCAAACGGCATAACTGTAAACTCGTAGTGACCATACCGAGTCCGAAACGCAGTCTTAGGAATTTCCTTGTCTGCTACTTTTATCTGATGGTATCCTGACCTCAAGTCAACTTTGGAAAACACTCCTGCGCCGCGGAGTTGGTCAAACAAGTCGTCGATCCTTGGGAGAGGGTATTTGTTCTTAATGGTGACTTGGTTCAGCTCCCGGTAGTCCTTGTATCTTTGCGATTTAAAAATATTCTTCAATTTAATCCCATACTAGTTAAACTAGTATTTTTCCTTGTGAGAATATTTTTACTGTAAGTTCATCTTCTTCATTCTCACGTCTGGGTGTTCTCAGACTTCAAACTGGCTTTGAACTTCCTCCCAATTTGAATTTCTCCTTCTCCTTTGTAATTGACACCCAATTGCAATTGACTTGTAATTCTCCTTTGTAATTGACACCCAATTGCAATTGACTTGTAAATGGCACCAAATTTGAATTTCTCCATTGTAATTGGCTCCCAATCTACTCCACTTGTAAATGGCACCAAATTTGAATTTCTCCATTGTAATTGGCTTTAGACTTCGAAATTGGCTCACAATCTACTCCTGGTGCTTTCAATTGCTTCCCAATTTGAATTAATTGACTTTCTGGTGCTTTCAATGAATTATTGACTTTCTGCTGCTTTCAATTGCTTCCCAATTTGAATTATTGACTTTCCCAGACTTTGCTTCCCAATTTGAATTATTGATTTTGACTCACAATCTACTCCTGGTGCTTTCAATTGCTTCCCAATTCTGGTGCTTTCAATTGCTTCCCAATTTGTTTGAATTAATTATTGACTTGCGACTTTCCCAGACTTGATTCAATTAATTTTGGCTTCTCAAATTTTACCTTGTAAAATTGTTAATGGTGAGTTTCAAACTTGAGCCATTTCGTATAACATACCAAGCTTCATCCACTTCGTCCATACAACTATTAATTAAATCTCCAATCACATTTGATGTACTCCTTTCTTTCCATAGATGCTTGATCTCCAAGTCAAATTCATGCAATCTTCCAATCTTAATTTTCTTCACGAAAATTCTTCTGGGATATCTTCTTGAGTAGCATAGACGTGATTTCATATCATTCACCTTCTTCTTCAATTTGTCATTTTCTCCAGACAAATTCTTGATTTTAGGCTTTATATCTTCTTCTTCTCTTTTATGCATCTTCCTTTTTTTCTCTTTTGCAATATATATAATTTCCCGATCATGGTCTAAGACTCTACTAGACCTAAGAAATAAAATTGGGGGATCTACAAATACATATTTGGCATATCAAAACCATTACACTTTATTCCTAACAATTTCCCCCCTTTTGATAATGCCAAAACCTATACTCAGTCATTGGCTTTAAGTCTTTGAAAAATAATCTTTTTGCTCAATTTTATTTGACAAAGCCAAGATGAGTTTAACAATGGTTTTCTAGACACAATCAAAAGAAACTTGTGAATTAAATTTTTAGACAAGCTCCTAAACGCATCTTGAATTATTTTTATTTTGATCATCATCAATTTTTAATTTTGTCGTGCGTTTGACATATTTCTTGTCTTTTAATTCACGAAAGTCTAATTACATTAAACAAACAAAATTAAAGACTCAAAATAGACCATGGGAAATTATTATTGATATATTTCGAAAATATTGAGAAAAACGCAACAGAGGTTCGAAAATAGAAAATATCAGCTTAAGAGAATTTTCAGATTACCTTCTGTGTTTCTTCACACCAGAGTCTTTCTTCAAAATTTCCTTAACATGTTCTCTGAGCTTGAAGAAATCATCTTTGAACTTTGCATTCTGAAATTTCTTTGTGTCCGACCATGTAATGTCCAAAAGCTTCTTTAATATTATTGCCCGGAAGAACTCTGGCTTCCCACCATAAGACACATTCTTCGAAGCTTCTTTCTTCTCCAAGATTCATGCCCATATTTCCAGTGAAATCTCTTAGTTCATACCACTTCTCCGTTCTTTTCCTTTTGCCTTCTTCTTCTTTATTCTTCTCAGAGATCCATTGGGCTTGATCCGCTGCAGGCCATTTCTTGATCATGCTTGGTAGATTTTCCTTAGTACATATTGTTGTCTGAGTGGCGATACCTTTAGAGCATTCAAACCAGCCACGCTGTTCAGCAACCTTCGATGTACTCATACCAAGACTAGGATTCGCGAACTGAGCAAAACCAATCTGAGATGGTCCTTGTGAGGATTGTCCGCGGCTTCGGCCTCTACCTTGAGTAGACATTACTGGCTGTTGTTGGCTTCCAAGATTAAATTCTTGTTGCTGCAAAGCTAAGTGACTGAGAATTTCTTCCCCCCTTTTGGCGTTATCAACCAAAAATGCAAGGGTCTTACAATCTCGGTCTTGGTTTGCCTTCACAGTTTCAACACTATTGTGCGTTTCAATGGAAACGGTTTGTACGTTGTCCAGCTTGTTTGTTGTAACTGCGAGCTCAACTTCAAGTTTGTTGATTCGGATTTCTTGGTCTTGAATCGCCTTGATCTGTCTCAAGTGACGTTCGTTGTGAATCTTTTCGGCAGCTTCACGTTCTTTCTTCATGAGTTGAATTACTTCAAGTAATCCTTTCGTCACTTCTCCTTTCAAGATTCTTTCTGCTTTGTCAATCTGAGTCTTCAAAATATTTTGATGCTCCATTAATTCCTTCAGATTGACTCGTGTATCCGTGTGTTGTTGATCCATCTTTTGATTTTGTTCAATCAACTTTCCTCCAATTGTTTGACAAACAACATCACTGGATTCGGCCACTTTTGCAAATAGAGATGAAAATATGTCATCATCTTGATCATCCATCTGCACAAAGTTTTGAGAGGATCCGAATGGACTTCTATTCGGATCTGTGAGAACAATTGTATCAATAAGTTGCATCCCTTCTTCTTCAGGTGATTCGGCTTCTTAATTGAGATCACCAATCTCTTCTTCTAAGACTTCTGTTCTTGTGTAGTTGTCTGCAAATAAATCTTCATTTTCTAGAATAGGGTCCATGGTAGGCATGGTAGACTCCGTATGGTGTACTGGCAATACACTGGATAAATTCTCTGTGATTTGCAGTCTACTCTCAGTAGCAACTTCTACTGCATCTTCCACTGGTATATCTCTTCTTCTTTCTTCTGACACTTCTCCTCTTAATTCTTTTTGTCTTTTATCCCTTCTTGAAGCCATATAATTTTTTTATTTCTTTTAGGGAAAATAACATATTTGGTCCCTGAGTTATACCTAAGTTCTGACTCAGTCCCTGAGTTATGACTGTATCCATTTTTAGTCCCTCAGTTATGGGCGAAGTGGCGCATTTGGTCCCCGGCCGTTAAAATTGACGAAAAATTAAAATATATTTAAAATTTGAGGGGTGAAGTAGGAAATTCATATTTTATTCTCCTTCTTATATCAAAACCACTTTTACAACATTGTTTTTCACTTCTTAGCCTCTTATTTCAAGATTGTTCAATTCTAAAAGCATTTCAATAACTTTAGTATGGCTTGTTAGAACCTGACTCTCGTATAACAAACACAAGACTTAGCACAAACAAAGAAACACTTAATCATTGTCTTTAGACGTGTGAAATACACTATCTTATCAATTTTCAATTTTCTTTACTAAGCAACAAAGGTAATCAAATCAGAACTTTTGAGATACAAATTAAAATGATGTCACATTTCTCAGGTTGCTTTTATGATAAATTCACCAACAGACTTGAAGCATGCCTAATGCCAGACGATCCATAGTTTGATTCTCATTAGAAGCAATTTTGGTGAAAAGATGAATTGCTATCGTGAAGTAGCAATATAAGGAGATGATGTCATCATGATAGTAATATCAGGATATACTATCATGAAAGAACAATTTTTATCGTGATAGTTGAGAATTATCGGGTGATGACGTCACGACTATCGGGTAATGACATCACGATGTGATAAAGCTAGTGGAGAACACGTGGAGGAGATAAGTCAAAAGAATTTAAGTCTTGGATTGTATCAATTGGATACCCAGCTGAGATGGAAGAAGCCTTACTAAGCAAAGCAAATGGTCCAAAGTTCAATTCCCACTTGAAGCGATTTTATGATTTCATAATATTGGTTCATGATATACAATGGAACGTGATACATGGTCCATGATACAAGGTGGAACATGATATGAAATGGAACATGATATATATGGTCCATGATACAAGGTGGAACATGATATGAAATGGAACATGATATATATGGTCCATGATACAAGGTGGAACATGATAGCTAGCTCATGATATGAAATAGAACATGATATATATTCCATGATACAAGGTGGAACATGATATATAGTCCATGATACAAGGTGGAACATGATATATAGTCCATGATACAAGGTGGAACATGATATACTATTGGGACATGACTTCATCAAAAGGAGCTATGACATCATGATAGAATTAGACAGAAACATTATTTTGAAGCTCTGTTTCTGCAGAAGAAGTCGAAGGAGAAGAAGAAGCTGATATACGAAGGAGATCTTTTTAATACTCAAGCAAGAATCAGCAGATAAATTATTTGATCAACTTGGCACATCAGATCAATAATTCAACAAAAGTCATGCCAGAGAAAATTCAAATTTGGAGGCTACCCATTCCAAAGAAAAGCTTTGTCAGATTAAAGGAGAGCAATGGCGAGATTTCTCAAAATCTTCTGACAGACGGCGAAATGATTTTTTGCAGACCAAGTTGGCAAAATTATTTGATCAACTACAATTCAAAATGGACGATCGAGATCGAAAGTTGATCAACGGGCAAATAGCTTTCATCTGCTATAAAATGCCCAAGCAGACTTGAAGACAAGAGGGGATTAACGAATCTAACAGAGATTCAGAAACGACTTGAACAAGAAAATTATCCAATCAATCATCAAGTGATATATTGAGCTATACACGATCAAATTCAAGTCTGAGTGAGAGAAAAATCTTTGTA